GATACCTATCCATTGATGTCAAAGTATAGATTTGGTTTTGATTATTATCATGCCAAAATTTAGAGTTTTGAAATTAGGTATGGAGATTTTCAAAAAAGGGGATTTGGGTTCTATACCTATATGCAAAAACTTGAGATAGGGTGTGGAACGTTTGATGTACGAAATATGTTTTAGGGTTTCGTTATGTACATAAGTGATAAGGATACCCCTTGTATTCAGACTCTAAAAAAAAGGGATTAAGTGGCATAGTATTTTAAAATATTGCTCTTACTATATTCTACTTTCTCGTCTATCTCATTTGAGAATATCTAAATTTAATCTTCCGTGGTTGGATTGGGAGTGAATGAATTTAAAAGTTATATGGTTAGGGTTTCAATTATAATATTTCAAAAGAGATTAGTTGAGCACTGGGAAGGGCGATGGAAACAAGAATATTCGGAGAAAATTGAGCTGCTGCACAAGAACATAAAACTGAAAAAGAAATACGAAGGGATCCCGGAAGAGGTGCGGAATAAGTTTGAATTAGTGCATTCGTCTAGTCGAATAGTATCTCAAGACATTTCTAATAATAAAGATAAAAGGGGTGAAGGAAGTTCTCGCGATACTAAAGGGAAACGTAAAGAGATGTAAGAAAATGAATTTGTTATGAAGGATAAAGAGAGGAAGAAAAAGAAAGAATGGACACTTCAAGAAGAGATGCGTAACTGCTAAGTGTGAAATATGTAACAAAATTCATACGGGATAATGTTATTTGAAAATTGGTGCATGTTTTAAATTGGCCAACTTGGACATCAAGTGAGGAACTGCCCAAAACAAATGAATTTTGGGATGGTGAAACAGTTGTACTAGTCAAAGTTAGCAATTAGTGAGATTTTGCCTGAAATAGTTATATTTATTGAACTATGTGTTATGCAAACTTTATGTAGTAAGTTGTATCTTTGTTAGAAACAGTGAACTTGGAGTCTAATGTTTTGGTTAGTAACATTAAATGTCTGTGGTTGGGTAGCGTTGAATCTCTATCCATGAATTAATTATCATAATTTAGTCTTGGATTTAAGCGAGAATTCTTTATTTGTGGTTCGAAAGGAAGAAATTTTGGTTTGAGAGGGTGATACGGGTCTCGTGGTACAATTGTAAAGATGAAAGGGGTCTTACGTTATTGGTGATTTGTCAATATACAGTGTATGCGTTTAAGAGCTAGCAAAGGTAGTAACCAAGTTTCAAATTTTCTTTTCATCGAGATTGAAGTTTGTGTCACTTTTCATCTTTTGATACCTTCATTGATCTTTCTTAGCATGTTAATTTAGCCATTGCATTATTAAGATTTTCTCTCTAGGTAAGATTGTGGTATCGACATGAGTGAGGGAATGCTCTTGAAAAGTAGAAGAAAAACTATGAAATCGAGTTTTGTGAGCAAAGAAGAAATTTCGAGGACGAAATTTTGTAAAGGGGGTGAGAATGTGAGGACCCGGAAAATTATTTTGTATGTTATTTTATTTCTTTGAATGCATTTTCTTTACTTTAAATTATTGCCTTAATTTCCTCGATATTTTTATAAGTCAAGTTTTAAAATCATTTTTTTTGTATAAGTTAGTACATGTTAAATTTGAAATGCATTATAAAAGTGGGACCCGCTAATGCGGTAAGTGTGATAAATTTTTTAGGAATAGGAGGAGTTTTGTGCAAAGGGATATAATTTTATAAGGTGCTAAGGGATAATTAGAGGTTGGCTAGATATTTTAGTAATTGGAAGACAATAAGATGAGGATTAACCTTGGCTAAACATTTATCACAAAATTCTTGAATTTTTTACCTTGACCAAAAACTTTCTTACTTCTTTACTAAAACCAAATTTTGACCAAAATTCTTCCATTTTTCCTCTAGCTTTGGCCGAACTTCCATGAGATAAAAAGAGAGGAAATAAGCTTCAACTTCAACTTCCATTTCAAGCTTGAATCCTTGAGTTTTTACCATAAACTTACAATCTACTCCATAAAAGTTGACCTTTAGGAAGGATTAAGGACTTTGGTGGAGGGGTTTTGGAGGGAGAAGCACTTGGTTTCCATTTTTCTTGGGATTTCAAGATATTTATGACAAGAAACTTCTTTTACTTTTAATCTTTGCATGCTAGTGGCTTTAGAGTTGGATTTTGGTAGTATAGACGAAAAATTTCATGGTTTAAGTTGTGGTTGACAAATTTCAGTTTTTGGTAAAAATTTTCAGCCTTGATATGATGGTTTAAGTTTGGCTATGTTCTATTATCCTTGCCATGTGATTTTTCCAGCTTTTATATGCTTCTTTGGCTTTATAATAGAAATTTCCAGCTTGTGATTATGAATTTTAGCCTAGGGTTTCCATTTTTCAGTTTTATTATGGTAGTTCTTGAGCTATAAACTTGCTATATTTGGATGATTTAGTGGCCTAAAACAAGTGTATTGATAGCTTATGACTTGTGGTTGTGATTGAGGTTGAATTGAGATGAAATTTGGTGTTGAGTTTGGATGGAAAAGTAAAGAAAACAAGGGGAGGTGCTGCTGAAATTTTCCGCAGGGAACCTTGAGCAGTCTTGGGAAATCTGTTATATCTTGGTGTAAAAAATTCAGAATATGGTTCTATTTATTGCGTTTGAAACTAGATTCGGGGTACTTTCAACCGTGAAAATTTCATAATTTTTCTCAGTTCTTATGAATATCTGTGATTTTTCAAATTTGACTGAATTTCTATTCCTGTTTTGTCTATCTACTGGATGAAGCAGCAACTTGAGGTTAGAATTTGACTAATTTGTGGATAGAATCTTACAAATGTGTCTTCTGGAAAATTGTAACCCTTTGAATCTATTTTTCGACGGTATAAAGTTTATAAATTCTGGATTTAAGAAGCTTGAGATATGATTTTTCAAATAGTATCATACAAAACAGGAAAATTCTGTTTTCCTAAAACTGTTCTTACTTTCATTTCTAACTTTAAGATTTGGAGTTGGTAAACTATTTTGAGTTGGGTTTATGAGTGGAATTGAGGTTTAAATGAAAGGAAATGAAGTTTTGAAAACCTTAATTTCTTCGTATATTTTGGTTTTGTATTGCTAGTCTTTTAATATAGTATATGACCACAGGACTCGAGAGAGTTCAAGAGGACAAACCAGGGTTAAAGTGAAGGATTTCAATTGATTGGTGAGTGTTCTTGTTGACCTTGGTCGATCAATCCTTGGTTTTGATGATTAACAAACTAAAATGTAGATTTGGGCTAATGTTTTTATGTGAGCAATTTGTTAGAACAGATTCTTGTGGCACAAAAGAAGAAGCAAAAACAGGGCACTCATGTGGGACGTCCGAAAGGAAGCTATCGGACGTCCGAAAGGATGAAGAACATCAAGAAGGAAACTCTGTCGGACGCTCGTGAGGAAGCATCGGACGTCCGGAAGGATCGGACGCACGCATCGGACGCACATCGATCGCATCGGACGTCCGAGAAATTTCGCAAAGATTTGATGACTCTCTGACGACGTTCGGACGCATGGTTCGGACGTCCGACAGGTGGTTTGGACGCAGGGTTCGGACGTTCGACAGGTGGTTCGGACGTCCGACAGGCCAACGGCTAGTTTTGACAGCATTTAATATTTGACCGTTGGAGAGCCTTTTGGAGCCATTTCTCACCTTCTATAAACACCCCAAAGCACAAGAAGGCACAAGACTTTTGCCAACACAAAATACAAGCTTATAAGTGAGATTTTTGAGTAGAAAGATTCTTTGTTGGTTGTATAAGGGGTTGGGGAAGTTGGGTTGTGAGGTTGCTCAAGTGAAGGTTATTCTCTAGGAGGAGTAAAACCTTGGTGAAGGTGAACCTATCACTTGAAGTGGTAAAACCTTGGTGAAGGTTGCCTCATTTGTATAAAATAGTTCTTAATTGGGTGAGTGATCTTTCAAGTGTAGGCTGTTGAGGGTTAACTAGAATTGTTGTAAAACTCCTTGGCTCAACCAAAGTGTGTTTGGGGTGAGGAAGGAGTGAGCCTTCACTTGTACATCTTGGTTAGCATCGCCATCTATTGAAGAGGCTATTGGATTGATATTTGGTTTACATTTCTTATCTTTTCTCTTTAATTAAGTTTTCTTTATTGTGCTTAAATTTGATATATCTTTGTGCATCATTGTGAAATTGTTTGTACTCATTGGGTTGCACCAGGCCTTACAGTTCTAACTGCGTGTTACATATTCATTGTTGTTAGAAATTGCTAGGTACTTGAATTATCGCTCATAGGCAAGTGTGTACTTTATCGCACTTGATCTAGCTCGACTAAACTTTATCATACTTTATTACATGTACTCATCGTTTTGTTATAACTAAAATTATTGTTTGTTATAACTGAAATTGTTGTTTGTTTTATGTTTTACATTATCATGCTTTTGGGTGTTCCAGGCTCCTGATTTGATTGGACAGCAAGTGTCTTTGAAGCTTCACCATGATGGACATCTGGGTAGTTTTGAGGGTTCATCTATTACTGTTATGTCACTTATCACTTCTATGTTATTCCATTGTTTCCTGCATTTGATGGTTTTGTGTAAAAGTGGTTTCTAAATTTGTTAAAATCCAAGATTATGTCAACGATGATGATGGATGGCATTGTTTTATGTCAATATTGTCATAGGAAAATCGTATGAAGTGGTAAGTTTCGAGTCACAGGAGTTAGAAGCGACTGTATTCCTGTCATCAACATCAGAGTCCAGAATCTGTAATTATCTGCGTATTTAACATGTAATGGCTACTATTATTATTGTTATTGGTTGAGTCACGAGTGACGTTTTTATTTTATCTAAGAAAAATAATAAATTGACAATCATTGTAAAGTGCATGCTTTTTATATCCAAATGCAGCTCTTTTAGGAGAGAAGTTTCTGGAGAAATATCCATCAAGTTCCCATAATTGTAGTAGGTTCTAAGTTGAACCTTGGTTGGCCAAAAAAAATTACAGTCAAAGAAAAGACAGAGACTGCCTTTGATGTTATTATGCCTGAAGTTCTTTCCTCAGGAAGTGGAAGTTTTTTTGTTGATGGGCCTGGTGGAATAGGAAAAACATTCCTTTATCATTCCTTTCTTGCAACGCTTAGGTCTAGTGGCCACATAGCGATAACTGTTGTTTCATCTAGTGTGGTTGCTTCTATTGTTCCAGGAGGACAGACTGCCTACTCACGATTTAAAATTCCCTTAGATGTTTCCGCAAACAAAATTTGTCAAATTAGCAAACAAAGCTCTATTGCAAGACTGATCATGCTTGCTAAACTAATTCTCTGGCATGAAGCGTCCATGACTAAAAAAGATACTATTGAGGCATTTGACTTGCTACTAAAGAATGTCATGGATTCTGATAAACCTTTTGGAGGTAAGATCATGGTTTTTGGAGGTGATTTCCATCAAACCTTGCATGTTATACCAAATGGTTCAAAGGACCAACAGATTGAGGCTAGCTTTGTTCATTCACCTCTATGGAGAACTTTTCAAAAAATAACTTTATCAGAGAATATGCGAGCTATTTCAAATCACCAATACTCGAGGTTTCTTTTGAGAGTAGGAGAGGGACACGAGCCAGAAGATGAGGAAGGGAAAATATCTTTGCGTAAAGACATATTAATTCAATTTGATAATAAAGATATATCACTCGACAAGTCAGTACAGATTTCGCAATCTTAGTTTACATGATTCACATTTTGATATGCTGAGTATATACATATATATCTACCCAGATTCTTATTTACTTAGATTGATAGGCTTCGCCTTTTCAGACCTGCATGCTTATTCAATAGATCCATATGCAATGATCAGTAGGTGTATCCTTACACCAAAGAATTCCTGTGTTGATGATATCAATGATGTGCTCATTGATTGATTCCCTGGACAAGCTTTTGTTTTCATGAGTACAGACAAGACTCTCAATGAAAAGGATCAGGGATATCATTAAGATTTCCTGAATTCTTTGAATCCAAAAGGGTTGCCCCCCAATTAGTCTTAAAGGAAAACTGTCCAATCATTCTCCTTAAGAACCTAAATCCCACAGAGGGATTGTGCAATGGAATAAGGCTTGTTTGCAAACAGCTTAGACAACATGCCCTTTGTGCAAAAATTGCAGTAGGCCAACATCAAGGCAAGAGAGTGATCCTGTCTAGAATTCCTCTTCAAACATCTGATAATGAAAAAAATGGCATTCCATTTAAACGCACACAGTTTCCAGTGAAGCTGTGTTTTGCCATGGCCATCAATAAGTCGCAGGGCCAGACATTAGATCGGGTTGGTATTTATCAACATGAACCCGTGTTCTCACACGGACAGTTATATGTTGCTTTGTCTCGCTCTAAAATGGCTAGTGCAGTTAAGGTCCTCATAATGCCACCAACCTTTTATGATGCTAATATTGTGCTTGAATCTAAAACAATGAATGTTGTCTATCGTGAAATCCTTGAATTAGCTGCTAAATGACTATCTATACTAAGGTATTGCCACCTGGGTAGATTTATGCACGTCTTTTCTGAACTTAGTGGCAGTTTTTATCAGACTTGTATCTTTATCTCTAACTTTTTTTTTGTTCTGCCATGACCTTATGGACTTTCGTACATCTTTGGTGCAGAATGGGTGATGTTTTGTTCATTGAAAACATAAAGCGTGGAATAAAATCTTGGACAGCTATAGTAACAGTCCAAGAAAAATTGAATGTTGGCTCTGCCCTCTCTACTCCAACAAAATGGCAAAAGTTCATTTTTGTTGACTCAAAAGTATGCTTATATTACTTTTGAAAGCTTGTTGTCAAAATCTATTTTTCTATAATGCTATGTATCTTTTACAGTTATTAACAACTTTATTAATTTGTACTCAATATCCATAAAATAGCCTTTTTTCTATGAAACTTATTTTTTCAGGGGTCAAAAATCCAGGGAGTACTTTTTGACTATGCCATACAGAAAATGGGTAAGCTCAAGCTTTAGAAAAAATATCGCATCTCAAATGCTGAAGTCAGGGCTACTGCTGAAAGGTTCCAGCTTGATGGACTTAAGCTCCAGTGGATTATAAGCACCAAAACTGTTGTAGACGAAATTGATGAAGCTGACTCAAGTGTGTTGCCATTCCACTTTGATTTCACGGCTTATAAAGACCTGGCTCCTTACGCAGACTTGAAACATGAAACTGTTGGTCAATATAGAACACAATCTATAGTATATTTTCTATTGATCTTATATGAAGAAAAAAATCGTATCTGAGTTATCTTGCTTGTTTTGCTTAATATAGATGTCATTGGAATAGTCATTCATGCATCGTCGGTTATTCCAGTCCATAAAGATTCAAGTGAATCACTGGTGCAAAAATTTTGGCATGTGAAGGAAGAGTAAAGTCTTTTCTGGTTCTTTCTTTGCTGCATTATGAATCATGAAACAATTGACAATTACATCGCTATTATAAAAGTAACAGGCATTTTTCTGTTCTTGATATTGCATAGAATGACTCCTATTCTGTTGTCTATCTGGAATGAGTTCATTGAAAATTAAGGAAAATCTATCACTGAGCTAAAAGATAAGCATCATGTTTTAATATGTCGCAGACTCAATGCTGTTATGTACAATGGTGCTTAGATATATTTTATGCTCAACTGCCCCGTATTAATACTTTGTCTGACTATCTTTGTCTGCTAGGAATTGCTTTGTCAGCCAAGAATGACTCGGTTATTCTTGTCAATCCACTTGTCAGAGAAGCTAATTATCTAAAGCATTGGTTTTTTCCCCTTTCTTCCTAAGATTTTTTCCAGTTCTTCTCACATGCCATTACTTAGTATTTGGTATTACCACTTACGTTTATGATTTTCCACAGGGCTGCGAGAAATGAAAACAGCTTTATGGGGCTTCTTTAGGATAGCATGCATGCTAAACAAAGTCCTCAGCTATTTCACCAATCACAACAGAAAATTATTTCTATCATTGATGTTGTTCCAACACGGAAGGCTTACATTTGTATCCTTTTTAATTTTTCCCCTTTTTCAGTAGGCAGCAAAAAATAACTCGTCTCTTTGATTTTCGATATTTCTAGGTTTCATGGGTTAAGGCAAAGGTTTCTTTCCAGCACATTGTTCAAAAATATTATTACATGGGTTGCGTAAAATGCCAACGCATGACTGTAGCAAACTTTGGAACTATATATACTTGCAATCACTATAATGAGAAACAACAAGCTTCTCCCAGGAAGGCAATCTCAACATGCAATTCATTACTTTGTGTCAAATTACCAGGTGTTACTCAAAATCAACGTATTCTCTAATCCTAACTCAGGCTTTATTACATGCAGGTGTCGTTTTGATATAGACCTCACTGACCACACTGACACACTCACTGCATCCGTGTTTAGTGACTTAGCTAAAAGTTTGCTCACATTTACTGCACTTGAAGCAATGAATTATCACAAAGAGGTTTGATAGGTATCCATAAAAAGTCTTAAAGAAATTTTGAAAACATCAATGACATTTTTATTGCTTTTATACATAGAATTCAGAATTGCCACTGGAAAAAGTCCATGAAGAACTTCAATCAAAGATGTTCATAATACAGTTAAAGCCAGCAACTACCAGAGATGGAGGAGGTCATCAGCTACTATTGTCTACTATTTTAAGGATGCCAGCACTGAAGAATCTGCTAACAGGTCTGCAGATCCTAATGTCCAGACTATTTCTCAGGAAATTGGCAATACTGTCCCAACAGTTGCAGCACCAGGTTTGTATGTATTAAAAAAAACTGTTACAGCTATGAATACTCAATTTATTTCGTTCGCTGATGATTCTCAATAAATTGCTGTTTAGAAAACCAAGTTTCTTCATTAAAGGTGCGAATTTGTCTTGATACAAAATTTGAACAATCTGAAGATGCAAATGAAGGTACATCCAAAGATGAGAAGGCAAACATCAACAAAAAGGCAAAGAAAAATTGATTGAGTTTTCGTTCCTTTGTTTTCTGACTATGAATCCAGATGTCTGTGTATTTTGTTAATGCTTAAAGCATCGACTATGTTGCAGCTTTTGAAACTATATCTCGAACTTATAACCCACCTTTTTGAAGCATTAGCTTTATCAACCGTCTGAACAAATGTCTTAGAAGTATTGCTATCCCTTATTAGTCATTAAATTATCTGCTACAATTCATTATATATAATATGAACAATCGGATGACTTCTACCCATAGATTGACAACTTTTAACGTCTCGATGATCAATTCCAATTAATGCAAACACAACAAATATATTCATTAATGCACAATTGCATTTCAGTCAATGCTGCATCCAACGTCCACCTACATTCAAGAATTTCAACCAAGAGTAGCACATTTATATTAAATGGCTCTCTCTCTCTCTCGCTATCTTTACTTATTGTTTAAAAATGCTACACAGTCGCATTGGTACTCATATTTGTTCGCGCATTGTTTATGTTCTCTTTTCCTTCCAACTGCTCCTCATTCTTTCATACTTTTTCTACACAACAAGGCGGCCAAATGTGCAACTTCGCTGCGAATATATCTAAACAAAAAATTTAGACACTACTCTTTTTACAATAGAAAACTTCTCCAAAGTTTTCTACTTAGCATTTCTTCCTAACCTTTCCCCATAAATATTTAGCAGTAGAAATGAATGGGACAAAAAATCTGTTTAAAAGATGGGAGTTAGTTCGAGTTGCCAACAAGGTCAAGTTTTATCTTCGCACGTTTGATCATAATAAGATCCACGCAGCAACCGATGTTAATAACCAAGAGGGAAAAATAGTATACTATGTCGAAAAAAATTTTGCAGAGGCTTTCCCCATGGTATTTGCCTACATGGGTGAACCATCGTTATTTTCGCTTGCATCGGTTAAACAATGGTTGCAAAATATCATCCTTATTTCTTCAGAGGCATTCATACCCCAAGGCAAGTATCCTTTCCTGATTACAACAGCGTTATAAAATACATGAAAATCTTATTGTTTTTCTTTTTTCCATAGAGCCACCAAAGATTACCCGAATATTGAATAGACAGCCTTGATGCTAGGTACTCTTCTGCACAGATATGGAGAAACAGGTGTTCTTAATAACTGGTGCTAGCTCTTAGATTACCTTTATTATATATTTACCGATGTCTTATGTTCGCAGAAAATTCCTGTGGAAATGTTTCGTTATAATAACTTTGCAAAGGGATAGACCATTACAGTTAAACATGGCCTTGCCGAATGGAGTTTGAAAATCACAGATCATTGTTTTGAAGGAGAATGGAAAATTATTTGCAAGCACAACTATATTGACCTAAATGATATGCTTTTCTTACGAAGAAGGGGCAATTTCATAAATGATGCACTGACTTTCTTGACCAATCATCTACAAATCTGGACAAGCTGGACTTGCACTTGCCAATGATCCCTTATGAATTGTTCATTTCATGAGGGAACTGCAGTTCTATTGCTCTTATACTATATTCCTAAGTTATATATGCACTCACACATCCTTTCCTTTCATTACAAAAAATATCAAAAGCCAACCGGGTGCAACTTTGGTCACCTCATCAATCAATCGATTCTTTTCTCATGATCTTATGGCATTAGATGCTTTTTACCAAATTTTTTCGTCTTATGCTAAGTACACAATAGTGTGCACGTTCTCCTGTTAAACAAATTCATGGTTTTCTAATCCACTCCTTCTTTGTTTATCTTTATTACACAGATTTCTTTTTTTGCAGGAAATTCCCAAGGATGCTCATCCGAGATTACATGAATCAAGAACCCCAACTATGGTCCTCACAAGTGGAACTAAAACCCATATCATTGGAAAGACCGAGAACAGATTTCACAAAAACTGGAACAAATTTGTTGATGATCATGGTCTTCAACAAGGAGAAATACATACCCCAATCCCATACATCCCTTGCTGTTTTAATTTTCGGAATCAACGGAATAGAAATCATGTATCCATGGCATCATACATTTCACCTTTAATATATTAGTAATCGTTTCCTAAAACAAAACAAATAGCTCGGTTACCAAATTATCTTGTTACATTTCTCCCACAATTTTCTGTTGTTAATCAATACATATAACTCCAATATTAATTCCAATCTAAAATTACTTATCAGCAATCCCAACTACTATTTACATAATTTTAATCCTTCATGGGCATTCACATTTTGTACTCCACCATGCAAAGCGCGATTTATCTCTCCTAGTTCGTTAGTAAGTAATAGTTTATGGAGTCCTTTACAGTGGAAGCTGTTGAGCATGAGGACCATTGCCATTGCGAGTTAGCAAAGATTAAGGGTCCAGATTGGCTCAAATTTTCATCTTTTAAAATGCGTGGCTGTGATTTACTCACGAGATAATTTTTTGTCTCAATCAAATTGGTAAAAAAGCAAAACTGTTAAAAAAAAATTTCACAATAATGGAGAGCTACTATCGTCATGCTGTGGTATCGTAAATTTTATGAACT